AAAGAAATGTCCAAAGACTTGGAGTTAGAAAACCAAAAGGGAAGAACATGTTCAGCACTTCTCAAATCGAAAGAACTGAAGGAAAAATTCAAGCCTTAAGTTGCAATATTGAAAGATTCTATGGGCAAAATATTGAATGATGCAAGAAGAATCAAAAGAAGATGGAAGGAATACATATAGTCACTGCGCAAAAAAGATTGAGTCGATGCTTATCTATTTCAAGAGATGGCATATGGTCAAGATCCAATGATACTGAAGGAAGAAGTTGAACTTGAAGCTGCACTGAAGGAATTGGTGAAAAACAAGGTTCTAGAAATTGACAGAATACACATTTAGATGTTTCAATGAACAGATGCCATGCTGGAGGTCCTTACTCTTCTATGCCAAGAAATTTGGAAGACAGCTACTTGACCAACTGATTGGAAGAGATCCATTATTGTACCCATTCCAAAGAAAGGTGACCCAACAGAATATTGGAAATTATTGAGCAATATCATTAATATCATGCAAAAGTAAAATCTTGCTGAAGATAACTGAAAAACAGTTGCAGCAGTACACAGGGAATTTCCAGAAATGGAAGCTAGATTCAGAAGAGGACATGGAATGAAAAATATCCTCACTGAAGTCAGATGGATCTTGGCTGAAAGCAAAGAATACCAGCAAGATCTTTGCTTGTGTCTTATTGACTATGCAAAAGCATTTGATTGTTTGGATCATAACAACTTATGGATAACATTGAGAAGAATGGGAATTCCAGAACACTTAATTGTGCTCATGAGGAACCTGTACATAGACTAGGAGGCTACCATTCAAGCAGAACAAGGGGATATTACATGGTTTAAAAATCAGGAAGGATATGCATCAAGGTTGTATCCTTTCATCATACTTATTCAATCTTTATGCTGAGCAAATAATCCAAGAAGCTGGACTACACAGAGAATAATGCCTCATCAGGATTGGAGGACAACTCATTAATACCCTGCAATATGCAGATGACACAAACTTGCTTAATGAAAGTGAAGATGACTTGAAGCACTTACTGATGAAGATTAAAGACTACTGTCTGCAGTATGGATTACATCTCAACAGAAAGAAAATGAAAATCCTCACAAATGGACCAATAAGCAGCATCACAATAAATGGAGAGAAGACTGAAGTTGTCAAAGATTTCATATTACTTGGATCTACAAACAACACAATGGAAGCAGCAGTCAAGAAATCAGATAACATATTGCACTGGCAAAGCTGCTGCAAAAGACCTCTTTAATATGCTGAAGAGCAAAGATGTCTCTTTGAATACTAAAGTGTGCCTAATCCAAGCTCTGATATTTTCAATTGCTTCATATGCATGCGAAAGCTGGACAACGAATAAGGAAGACCAAAGAAGAGTTGATGCTTTTGGGTTGGGGTGTTGGTGAGGAACATTGAAAGTGCTGGGGAATGCCACAAGAACGAACAAATCTGTCTAGTAGGAAGTGCAGCTGGAATGCTTCTTGAAAGCAAAAATGGCCAGACTTCATCTCACCTACCTTGGTCATATTGTCAGAAGGAACTATTCCCTGGAGAAAGATAGCATGTTTGGTACTGTGGAGGGTCAGCAAGAAAGGGCCCTCAACAAAACAGACTGATGCAGTGGCTGCAGCGATGGGCTCAGGTATATCAAGGATAGTGAGGCTGGCACACGAGCAGGCAGTGTTTCGTTCTGTTGTACACAGTGTCCATCCCTATGAGTCAGAACCAACTTGATGGCATCTAACAACAACAGCAGCAACAACATTTGCTCTTTACCAGAATGTTCTAGACCAAACTGCAGCTAGAAATTTAAAGGGATGGGGAGGACCAGACCAATCTTTCCACTATTTTTGTATAACAAAAATAATGTCTTAGGAAATTCAAGCAAGGACTTTTTAACCAAATTCTCCAAATAAATTAACCCCTCTTCCACTTTACTAAAACTTGCTGAGGGGACCAATACAAGTCTTTTATGAAAACACTACAAGCAAAAGAAATCAGATGAGAATTGGAGGTCTAAAAAAACCCACTGCCATCGAGTTGGATCCAACTCATAACAACCCCTCCTTGGGTTTCCGAGGCAGTATCTCTACGGAAGTTGATTGCCCAATCTCCCTTCCAAGGAGTGGCTGGTGGGTTTGAAACACCAGACTTCTGGTTAGCAGTCAAATGCTAGAAAAATGTATCCAAATGTGAAGCAAAAAGAAGGGGAAGATAACACTCAAGAATAATAAGGTATGTATTGATTGATTAAGGAGTTTGTGTTTCTACCTTTTTAGCAGCAAGAACAAGATGGAATTAGTAGGGAGAATTAGTGCCAGAGATGTTGGGAGAGAGAGAAATATGGTCAAAGTGGTGGGTAAAAGCGTACTGATGGATTGGGGAGCATCATCTTCTACTTCACATTCTCCACCCTGTGGCTTCCAAAGAAATGTTAGTGCAGAAGGCACCCAACTTAGCCCACTTTGCTGCTGAATGGGTCACGATATAGGATGCCCTCTCATACAGCCAGGGCAACCAAGGCTGAATTTGGCCCACTCGATTTGAATGAGGTGAGGAAAGAGGAAGCCTCAACAGCCTGAACTGTGTCCAGCTTCCACTGCATGCAAGTGAGGTTGGGGAATGAGAGTAGCCCCAATACTATGGGGGTCGGGGGTACTGGCCTTAGGATCCCCACACACTTACTCAACACAAAATCACCATGTGTCTGTGAGCAGCATTGAAAAGAAAGAAATAATATATTTCTACCACTGCATTAGTCCCCTTTCTTTTGCTTGCCTAATTATTTTATTTTTAAAATTTAATTATTTTTGCCATTTCTCAAGCCACAAGGAATTTAAAGCAACTCATAAAAATTCATACCATGAAAATATTTTTTAAATTAAAAATCAGGGCCAGAGAAAATATAAACTAGAACTGAAAGTCTAGTCCAGGGAGGGAAAGTAAAATACGCTCATCGTACTGTTTTAAAAAGTTCTCAAAGTTAAGCAGAAACTTTGTCTTCATGTTACCCAGCAGTCAAACCAAAAAGAGAAACAGAACCAGTTACATGATTCTCAGTGTCTATGAGGAGAAAATATTTCAGGTCCTCAAGGGAGGAAAGCCATTTCCTAGAATTCAGATTTGCAAGAATTTATGTAGGAGATCATGGGTGTAGTGGAGAACATCTAAAACCACATTTCTCCCATGGCTGTTCTGGACAAAATCTCTTTAGAAAACTCAAGGGTATACGGGTTGCCATTGAGTCGATTCTTAGTTGTGACAATTCTATGTGTGTCAGAATAGCTCTGTGTTCCAGAGGGTTTTCAATGGCTGATTTTCAGAGTGAAATCACCAGGTCTTTTTTCTGAGGTGCCTCTAGGTGGACTCGATCCTACAACCTTTTGTTAGCAGCCAAGCGTATTAACCACATGGACCAACCAGGAACTCCTCCGTTAAAACCCTTCTAATGGAAATGAAGACAAGTATCAACCAGTACACATCTGTCTCATAGTTCAATTTATCTGAGAAGCCAGTTCTTCGGGAACAAAGGAACTTAATCATCTTAAATACTCCCCTGCATGTGCCATGTCCATCTACCAAGAAAACTAAAATGTATTATTCAACTAGAGGAAATTTCCTAGACTAGAGTTTATAGGTTCCTCTTTTCCCTCTATTTTATGACTGTTGTTGTTGTTTTAATCTATTCCTACTGCAATGAAATATAATATGAATGTCTTTTATTTTTATTGCGTTAGTTAGTATTTTTAAAGTGTTCAGGTTAGTACTTGGCAAACAATAAGTGCTCCATAAGAGTCCATTTTTTTTAATTTAAAAAAAGTAGTTTATTTCATTAGCAAAAGGGGGTAAAGAAGAAATAACAAGCTAATTATAAATAAATAAGTTGATTGGGATTTTATATCCTTCTTTAATCTTTACCCATGTACATGATTTTCCTAAAGCAGTGCATACTAAGTAAAAGCCCTTGACTATCATGATGGGAGAATGTGACCCAAAAAAGCTGATGAAGGGGGATTATTATAATTTCGCATTGATTCAAAGGCTTTGAAACACTCAGAGAAATATCAGAGCCTTTTATAATTTCCTTTCTGGACTAACAGCTGGAGCTCCAAAATTCCTTACTATCTAGCAGGCCCTTCCTGTGAAGTGATTTTATATCTCCAGCACAACATTAAGTTAAAAAGACAAAAATTCTGAAGAATCACATAAAATGGATCGCCCACATTTTTAAGAACAAAAAATCCACACTCAGAGTTCACTTATATTAACACAACAGATACTACAAGGCCAGAGACTAATTGTGAACTTAGTGGAAAATGACCAGGAAGATTATGGCAAGCAGACAGTTACAACCTGGGCCAAAATCAGATGAAATCCCCTCTCCTACCACTACGTTGATGTTCTTTTCTCTCCTAACTTCTCTCCTGCACTCATCACCCGTGTAAGACTTGCAGCTAAAAGTTCAACAGAATAAAATAACTGGTTTTGCATAGAAAAGTCTGTAAGTTTATCTGAGTCAAGTTCAATAATCAGGTACCTTTTTTTTGGTTTGAATTTCATATTTCAGATACCTGTTTTTTCCATGATATATCTAGCTTCGGTACTATCACAATCAGAGACTTAGCATTTTAAAACAATAGTAGACCAAATCCCCACTGCCACTGAGTTAATTCTGACTCACAGTGACCACACAGGACAGAGTAGAACTGCCTAAAGGGTTTCCAAGGCTCTAATCTGTATGGAAGCAGACTGCCTCAAATTTTTCCCACAGAGTGGCTGGTGGGTTCAAACCGTTGATCTGTTAGCAGCTGATCACTTAACCACCGCACCACCAGGACTCCTAAACATTAGACAAATACTCGCAAATGGATAAATACTGTTTTGAGGCCACGTTCACACAATGTGCAGAGCCACCTAGTTCCGCATGGAGGTTTCTAGATGGTGTCAAGAGGACGTGCCTTTCAAGGTGTCTGTGCAAGCAAACCTACCCTCTTGCTGCTCTCCTCCTCCTGGGCTTTTCTGAACTCGTGCTCGAGGGAGCAGTCCAGCTCATTGAAGAGGCCCACTTCCTCACAATTTTTCAAGAATCTTGTTGGAGTTGGAGTCTGATCTGAAAACAAAGAACAAATGATCACAAATAGGAGCTTTTGCTCAAAAGTCAGTGGCAAACATGAAATAAATTCACTAATCTGCTCTTTTCGCCTTTAATTAAAATGCTGACTACTCATCCAAGGAGTTCTGATGGCACAATGGTAAAGTGCTTGGTTGCTAACCAAAAGGTTGGCAGTTCGAATCCACCAGCTGTTCCATGGTCCCTTAAAGATTACAGCCGAGGAAACCCTGTGAGGCAGTTCTACCCTGTCCTATGGGGTCTCTGTGAGTCAGAATTGGCTTGACAGTGCACAACAACAAATAGCCATCCACAGTCTTGTAACTTTTTAAGTAAGATGAGAATGTTGTTGTTGTTGTTGTTATGTGCCGTCGCGTGGGACCCGACTCACAGCGACCCCTCCTTGGGTTTCTGAGGCAGTATCACTATAGAAGTAGATTGCCTCATCTTCCTCCCGAGGAGTGGCTGGTGGGTTTCAACCGCCAGACTTCTGGTTAGCAGTCAAACTGTACCTTCCAAAAAAGGAACAATTTGTGGAAGTTTGCAGTATGAAAGGGTTTTCCAAATCTTCCCCTGCACTGAACTTGAGGTGGTCTCGTCATACACCTTCTGGGGACCATATCTTTTGAAAACATTTTGCAACATGTGAAATGGCTTTTTTATTTTTTTAAAAATGATGTATATAAAATCAATTTAAAAAAAATCTGCTGGACTAATGTAACCTTGATTTTAAGGGGCTTGAAAGAAAAAAAGATTTTGTAAGATTTTATATCATACAAGAAGGGAAAAAAACTACCATGCTAATTATCTGTTTTTACTGGAAAAGAAAAAGTTAGCAATTCCATCTCTTATCCTGAAAGTCACACAAGGATGATAAAAGGTTCCATATCAAACACATTCAACTTTCATTATTGTTTTTATTTTCCCCTTTGCTATGGTTAAAAGACTGTTCTGAGAATGCACTTTAACAGTAATAGAATTTCTTTCTATCTTAACTTTCTAAACAACTAATTACATAGAAAATTGGAGAATCCGAAACCACTATTTGTGGCTTAAATTTATGCAGCATTTATTAGTGTACAAAATTTCTTCACACATTCTCTAGAATATAGATTTTACACAATCTTATGAGATGACCAAAAAAAAAAATCTCACTGCTGTTGAGCTGTATCTGACTCATAGTGTCCCCTCCTTGGGTTTCCAAGGCGGTATCACTACGGAAGTAGATTGCTCAACCTTCCTTCCGAGGAGTGGCTGGTGGGTTTGAACCACCAGCCTTCTGGTTAGCAGTCAAGTGCCTTAGGCACTATGCTACCACAGCTCCTCTATGAGACGAGTAGGGTAGAATTACATCTTTGTAACTATTAAGGACAATCATCTTTCTTGATAAAGGTGTGCTTGAGTTAACATAGATAAAAATTATATTTTACTTTTAAAGATAAATAAAGCATTGTCTTAGAATTTAAAATACTGTGTAAATTGCTCTTTTCTCAGAAACAGGATATAAGAGTCAGAAAGAACCATGGCATGGCCATGGAGAGATTATTTTGCAAATGAACAGAACTAAAGTGCAGTGTGATTAAGAGTTTTGCTCAAGGTCTCAATGCTATTTCCACTAAAAAACCAACCAAACCCACTGCCATGTAGTCAATTCTGACTCATAGCCATCCTACACAGAAGTAGACTGACTTATCCTTCACTCGTGGAGCAGCTGACGGATTTGAACCATCAACGTTTCAGCTGAGTGCTTTAACCACTGCACTACTAGAGCTCTTATTCTACTACATATATTATTCCTATCTGGGTCTATGGCATGCACTACTAATTGATTATAGCACTTGTCTGGCTTGATCTAGACTCAACCTCAAAAAAACTTTCCACATAGGTCCCTAAGCCATCACCTCCAGTCCTCAAGTTGATAGCAATTTGCCACTCCTCCACTCTCTTTATAAATTTGTTTGTTGTTGTTGTTGTTATGTGCTGTTGAGTCGGACCCGACTCACAGTGATCCCTCCTTGGGTTTCCGAGGCAGTATCACTATGGAAGTAGATTGCCCAACCTTCCTTCCGAGGAGTGGCTGGCAGGTTTGAACCGCCAGCCTTCTGGTT